TTTCAGCTAGAAAAGTCCTTAAGTACCATTAATCAGGGATCCACTACTGTTACCCAATATTATAATTCTTTCAAAGGTCTGTGGGATGAGTATGTCACATTTCGACCCATCATTAAGTGTCATTGTGGTGCCTTTACTTCTTGTAATTGTAACATCTTTGAATTGATGGCTGAGTCTCAGCAACATGATTGTGTAATGAAATTCCTGATTGGCCTCAATGATTCATATGCTTCCCTCCAAAGTCACTTTCTGTTGACCTCTCCCTTACCCTCACTCACAAAAATATACTCTCTCCTGCTTCAAGAAGAATCCCAGAGATCTTTAACAAACACTCTACCTACTGATCCTATGGCTATGCTTGCAAAAACTACTCACCAACAATCCCAAAAACCACAATACCAGAAAGACAAAAAGCCCAGACCCAAATGCTCTCATTGTGGTTATCCACACCCTTCTGACAAATGCTACCAAGTCTATGGCTATCCTTCTAACTGGGTTGGCCCCAAGGGTCCCAGGATACATCCTAAACACTCAGCTAATTTCACTCAAGCCATAACTGAACCTACTGATAACATTCCCAAATCTGATACCTCTTCCATGACTAATGAGCTATTTCATGAGTTTCTAGAATTCAAGAGGTTACAGGAAACCAAAACTGCTGAACCAAATCATATGGTAGCAACTGCTGCTGCTGTGCATAATGCTACAGGTTTGCCTTCTCCCTTTTCATGCTCTGCATCTAGGACATTATCTAAGAATACATGGATTCTAGATACAGGAGCAACAGATCACATGGTTTGTGACAAGTCATTTTTTGTTAATGCTAAACCTGTTCATAATATCAATATCAATCTACCAAATGGCAATACTACTACAGCATGTTCTATGGGCCAAGTAAATCTGTTGCCATCTCTTACACTGCATGATGCTTTATATGTTCCTAGCTTCTCATTTAATCTGATATCTGTCTCCAAGCTAGTGTCTACATCAAATTGCATGATACAATTCATGTCTTCATATTGCATCTTACAGGATTTGACAACAAACAAAGTGATTGGTTCTGCTGACCTACAAGATGGTCTTTATCATCTTAATTTTGCTAATTCTTCTTTGTCTGCTCATAACTCTGATGCAAACTATAAACATGTATCCCCTCAATTACCTGTAACACCTCAACACCTTGTAGCCTCATCTTCACATGTCAATAATCATACTGATACATACTGTACATGGCATAACAGACTGGGACATCTCTCATATTCAAGACTGCTGCATTTACCTATCTCTGATATTCATAACAAGTCTATATCTACTTTGCCATGTGATGTGTGTCATTTTGCTAGACAAAAGAGGTTACCATTCACATTAAGTGATTCAAAGTCTTCTTCTGCATTTGAACTTGTACATTGTGATGTTTGGGGACCTTTTTCTGTCTGTTCTCATGAGGGTTACAAATATTTTCTAACAATTGTTGATGATTTTAGTAGAACAACTTGGATTTATCCTTTGAAACAAAAATCTGAAACTAGAGTGTCTTTGGAACATTTTTATAATATGACACTCACTCAATTTGAAAAACAAATTAAGTCCATTAGAACAGACAATGGCACTGAGTTCTTTCTTCATGATTTTTATCACAAGCATGGCATTCTTCATCAAACTAGTTGTGTTGAAACACCCCAACAAAATGGTAGGGTGGAAAGAAAACATCAACACTTGTTACAAGTTGCTAGAGCTATTCTGTTTCATGCACACCTGCCTTTATACTTCTGGATTGATTGCATAATGGTTGCTGCTCATATTATTAATAGAGTTCCTTCTGTCATTCTCAAAAACAAGTCTCCTTTTGAAGTTCTTTTTAACAAACAGCCATCATATGATCATCTTAGGGTCATAGGTTGTTTATGTTATGCTTCTACATTACAATCTCACAGACATAAGTTTGAACCTAGAGCACAAAAATGCATACTTCTTGGGTATCCTTTAGGTTGTAAAGGTTATAAACTTTACAACCTTGATACTAAGAAAACATTGATTTCCAGAAATGTGCTTTTCTATGAGAATGATTTTCCTTTCATGAACATCCAGAATTCCAACACTTCTGATAAACTATTTCCCACACCCCACCAATTTCCTTTCACAGAAGATGATAACTTTGTTCCCAGATACACTCCACCCCTAAACAGTCCAACACCCTCCAATACTTCTTCACCCTCTACTCAGAATACTCACACCATTAATACTTCCTCTCAAATCACTACTCAGAATACATCTCCTATACAAATCTCCACAGACAATCCTTCACCTATAAGAAGATCAACTAGACAGACTAGACCTCCTGCATACCTCAATGTTTATCAACATTCATTGCCTCCTTCCAGAACCAATTCTGCAATCATCTCTAATTGCACTTCTGGAACATCTCTCTATCCAATCTCATCATACTTGTCTGTTGATTCTTTATCTGAAACTCATTCATGTTTTACAACATCAATATCTTTACTCACTGAACCAAAAAGTTATACTCAGGCTGCCAAAGATCCTCAATGGCAGTTAGCCATGAGGAAAGAACTAGATGCTTTAGAACAAACTAAAACTTGGGTTTTGACCTCTTTACCATCAGATAAACATTGTATAGGATGTAAATGGGTTTTTAAAATCAAATATAAATCTAATGGAAGCATAGAGAGGTACAAAGCCAGACTTGTGGCAAAAGGCTATACCCAAGAAGAGGGTATAGACTATTTTGAAACCTTCTCTCCAGTTGCAAAAATAACCACAGTCAGATTTCTCATTGCTTTAGCTTCTATTAAAAATTGGCATATTCATCAACTTGATGTCAATAATGCTTTCTTACATGGGGATTTACAAGAGGAAGTTTATATGAAACCTCCCCCTGGTTATTGCAAACCTGGTGACAATAGAGTCTGTAAATTAATTAAGAGTTTGTATGGTTTAAAACAAGCTTCAAGACAATGGTTTTCAAAACTTACTCACTGTTTACTTGCTTATGGCTTTACTCAGTCTGTGGCAGACACTTCATTATTCACTATGCATACAAAATCCTCTTTTACTGCTCTGTTGGTATATGTTGATGACATAATTGTCACAGGTGATGACATTGATCAAATTTCTGCTATTAAAACTCACCTTGACAAATGTTTTACTATCAAAGATCTTGGCACTTTAAAATACATACTTGGGTTGGAATTTGCACATTCAGCCACTGGTATTAATATGTGTCAGAGAAAGTACATTCTTGATATTTTAAATGATACTGGTTTCTTAGGCTGTAAGCCTGCTTCTACACCTATGGATCCTACTCTCAAACTTTCTGAATATGTTGACACTGACTCACTTACAGAACCCAGCACATATAGAAAATTGATTGGCAGGCTCTTATATTTGACAATATCCAGACCTGACATTGCCTACAGTGTTCAAACATTAAGTCAGTTCCTTTCCAAGCCAACCACTCATCATTTGGCTGCAGCACACAGAGTCCTCAGATACTTAAAAGGTACAATAGGTAAGGGTATCCTTTTTGCTAGAGATTCTGATGTTAAATTGCATGCTTACTGTGATAGTGATTGGGCATCTTGCATAAATACTAGGAGAAGTATCACAGGTTTTTCTGTTTTTCTTGGTAAGTCTCTTATATCATGGAAATCTAAAAAGCAGTCTACAGTTAGTAGATCCTCAGCTGAAGCTGAATATAGGGCTCTTGCATCTATATCTTGTGAAATTCAGTGGCTGTTGTATCTCTTTAATGATTTTAATCTCCCTCATGCTGATCCTGTTACCATTTATTCTGATAGTAAATCTGCAATTGCAATTGCCACTAACCCTGTTTTCCATGAAAGAACAAAGCATATTCAGATTGATTGTCACTTGATTAGAGAAAAAGTTGCTCAAGGCCTTATCCATCTTCACCATGTAGACACCAAGGAACAAATTTCAGATTTACTAACCAAAGCATTACCTGGTCCAGCATTCTCCTATCTTTCTTCCAAGCTTAACATGAACAATATTCATGTTTAGCTTGCGGGGGGGTATTAACACTATGTATAAATATTGTTATTAGATTTTATGTTAAAGTTGTTGTTTGTAAAACAACAACTATAGGTTACTTGTAATATTAGAATTTGTGTTAAAGTTGCTATTAGCAACTATAGGCATTTGTAATTTACTGTTTTGCCATTGAGGAAACCCTAAGTATAAAAGGACAATACACCTCATTTGTACTTCACTTTTTCTTCTTCAATTTTATCGCAGTATTTTTCTTGTTCATTCTCTCTCTCTGTTCTTGAGAATATTGTGTTCAATCTGAGTTAATAATTGTTGCTAGTACAACATTGACATAAATGAAAGCAAAAGAACCGTATTGTCTCATGCTATTGGCAAACGGGCAATATAGGTATAAAGGTAGGTTAATCTTTTTCCTCTCTTTTCTCTCAACTCTAATGTTAAAAGTAACTAAAATTAGCCAACACAAATCACACAAGAAGTCAAAATTATGATACGCATGGATATGGGCATAAAGGTAACTTGACTTGAAAGGGTTATTTTTTATTTTTTATTTTTTTGGCACAGGGACCTTTCGGTTTTCAGATTCACAGGGGAACCGACTAATCTGGAATCGAGCCGGGTAGGACCACAAGGGCAGAAAAGCTCTCCCTCAAGAGTTTTAACACTGCTGCATTCTCAAAGCTCGAACAAGAGATCACTGGTTAAGGTGGAAGAGACCTAAGACATCTCGTCCAAGCGCTCTTGGTTATTTTTTATTTTATCTTATTATTTTGTTTGTGTGTGCTCTTTCGTCCTCCGAGGTCATTCATTCGTTGTTTATCAGGTGTGTGTGCTCTTATTTCTGTACAAAACCAAAAAAATGAATAATTTGGGCTTAAATCAGAAGCCCTAAAAAAAATTCCGTCAAATCCATGAAAGGCAATCAGGAAAACCCTTATGCATGAAGTGGATGGTTCTCTTATGCTCTGACAATGGTTTCTAAAACCCTAATGATCAAGGCTCACAAAAGCCAGCCTAATCACATGTTCGACCACCGGTAATAACCCCCTTCTCATTTATTTTCTTGAAAAAGAGCAAAAGGGTTTGTGCTACTGATGATGGGTTTTCGTTTCTTGTTTTTCTTTTTTGAAAAAATTTCACTTCCTTATGATGCAGAGCATATGGAGTGTTCTTCTAATCACTCTCTGTAACGTTCTGTTCCGAGTGTGTATATTTGATTTCTTAAGCTTCAGTTCTGACTGTGGTATGCTATTATGAAGTGGGTTTCCTTAATTTTTAACTTTGATGCTTCTTAAATTTTCGTAATATTTGAAGTAACAACGGTGCTGTCTTCGTGGGAAAATCTTTGACGTTTTTCTGCTATTATTTTCTTTCCTTTAAAGAACCCACCTTTACTTAGTAATGGGTTGTTTAAGGTGTGAGAAGTTAATGTAAAGCAGTTTGCTTTTGTCCGCAAGTGGTTATTATCTTTCTATTTTATTTTCTTTTGTTGTTTTTGTTGAGGGATTTTTTTTCCAGTTTTGAAGATTTTGGAATATTGTTTTCAGATTGCTTGTTTTCTTTTATCAAATGATCAATATTTGGTATTGATTATTTTTTTTTTCGTATGTAGTAGTAGCTGTAGTTCTCAACTTTGCACTATTATTGTTCGGTTGTCCTATGTTATTATTTGAAGGGTTCGTGTAGAATATCAGCCTGATACAGCTCCTTTGTTTGCATTTTTTCAGGGGGCTCTTTTCCTCTGCTAAGGATGTTTGCTTTCTGGTGGTTCTCTTGTCTGCTATTTTCGTTCTGGCTGCATGCGAGCCGTGTGGAGTAAAAGAAGTGCAAAATCAGTGCAAATTCGAGGGGTGCCGGCCGTGCTTTGACTCTCCAGGTGTGACTGATGGTTATGTAGGTTCAGCATCAGTGTTAAGAAATCCAGTTAGGCAACAGTTTTCACAAAATTTATGTCATCCTTCCGATCTATTTTGTTTCCCATCAACGTTGTCTGTGTTTGAAGATGACGAAATTGGTGCTGAATTGGAGGAATTAGATGCCTCCGAGCTTCAATCTGAAGGTTTTTTATCTGGGTTAAAGGGAAAACGTAATCTGAATCAGTTACCTTACCAAGGCAACTTTAGGTTCTTGTGTGGGAAAAAAGTTTCGTGTTATTCTTACCAGGAAGATGGTTTTCCGGAGTTGTCATCTGGTGAAGCCATACCAAAAAATGGCCCAAGGACTGATGTTTCTTCTTGTGTAAACCCTCTATTGGACAAAAGGATTGAGACCAATGGGTCTTCATTTAGCTTTGAAGATGGCTTGCCCACACCACCTGTGGAAATAAAACCTTCGGTGCTTAATTGGGGGCACAGGAATATGTACCATCCCTCCTTAGCCTATTTAAATGTGAAAAATTTAGATAATGATAATATTTTGAGAATCTATGGTCCTTCCAGTAGTGACCCCCAATTTTACCCATGCGATTCAAGTGATATATTGTTGGCTCCCGGGGAAAATGCATCAATATGTTTCGTTTTTCTCCCCACACATCTGGGATTAGCCTCAGCAAAATTAATCATACAGACGAGTTTAGGTGGGTTTCTGATTCAGGGGAAAGGCTTTTCTGTAGAGTCCCCTTATCAGATACATCCTGAGGGTAGTCTTGACATTTCCCCTGGTGGTAGGTGGAGAAAGAGTTTATCTTTGTTCAACTCTCTTGATGACACACTTCACGTGGAGGAGTTAACTGCTTGGATATCCATTTCATCAGGAAATAATACCTCCAAATCGTCAAAATCTATTTGCCGTGCTCACCACATGGATTATTCAAGTGACTACAATGTGTTGAATGCTAAAGACTGGTTGGCCGTAGAAAAAGGTGGAGATGGTAAACCATTAATTGCATTGAGGCCTTGTGAAAATTGGGTTGTTGGTCCTAAAAGAACCGAGACATTTGTGGAGTTAGATATTTCTGGCCGTTTTGAAGGGAAAATTGTTGGGGCTCTCTGTATGAAGCTGCTGAGAGCTCCAAACAGTGAGATTGAAACTGTGGTGTTACCTCTTGAGGTAGAAATGAGTCTCGAAAAAAAGACTGCTTTAAAAAATACAGGTCTTGTTTCATTATCTCTGGAGACCTTAGCTCCATGCAAATGCAATACTAGCAAGTCAGCTCGTGTTGCTTTGTCTGTTAGAAATGATGCCCCGTATTCACTGAGGCTTACTAAGGTGAATCGAGTAGGGGAGAGTAAAGCGAGTTTCGAAATTAAATCTCTCGAGGGAATTATTCTCTTCCCCAACACCACCACCCAAGTTGCTTTTGTTAATTATGCTACTAATCTGGAAGTAGTTGACCCAAACTGCAAAATAACTGTACTGGTCAATGACACGAGTTTTTCTCAGATGGAAATCCCGTGCAGCGATGTGATTGGTGTTTGTTCTGGGTGTCTGTTAGATTCCTCTGTTGGGTATACTCAGAGGATTAATGTTGATTATGTTAATGGCGGGGAGAGATTCTTCAGCAGTGGCGTTCTACCGCATTCTAGTATCAAGGTATGTGAGATTATGCAAAAAGTGTGAATATATTGTCTTTATGTTTTAATCAAAAAGCACCAAAAAAAAAAAAAGGCCAATCACTAGAAAGTGTGGCTTTATTGTCTTTATGTTATATTATTGTATGTGTGAATTTATCATCTCATTATCTCTTTAATTGATTAACGATGAAATAATCATACTTTTGTGTTTATTTATTATTTATTTCTTATGTGAAGGTAGAGAACACCAGAGAATCAGATGAACCGATACTGAGGAACTGGAAATCTCAAGCTACTACTGTGAGCTCACTCTCTATTCTTGATAAGAACAACATACTCTTTCCAGTGGTTCTGGTCGGAAATTATTCTTCTCAATGGATAACTGTAAAAAACCCGAGCCAAAAACCGATCGTGATGCAGCTCATTCTAAACTCTGTGGAAGTCGTCAACAATTGCAGAATACCCGAGATACTTCTACAGCCATCTTCATCCAATACTTTGGTGGGTAATAATTCTATTGGCCCTACAAAGTATGGTTTTTCTTTAGCCAAAGATTCAATGACTGAAGCGTTTATTCATCCGTATGGTTTTGCTACTCTTGGCCCGATCATTTTCCAACCTTCCAATAGATGCGAATGGAGAAGCTCGGCTCTAATTAGAAATAATCTCTCTGGTGTAGAGTGGTTATCTTTGCAAGCCTTTGGAGGCTCTCTGTCGTTAGTACTCCATGAAGGGCATGATCGTCCTTTGCAGAGTTTAGAATTTAAGTCGAATTTGTCGAGTAGGCTGAATTTTTCTTTTACTGGAGGAAATTCTTCTTATTATTGTTCACGGTCCATGACGAAAGAGGTATTTGCCCAGAATACGGGAGATATTCCTCTCGACGTTGTTCGAATCAAAGTCTCGGGAGCAGAATGTGGATTGGATGGATTTGTTGTACATAATTGTGCTGGCTTTTCTCTTCAACCTGGTGAACAAGCAAGGCTTCACATATCTTACCATACTGATTTCACTGCAGCAACTGTACGAAGAGATCTTGAACTGGTGTTGACAGCTGGCATCTTAGTCGTACCTATGGAAGCAAGTATTGTACCCACATGCTCGATCGATTTCTGTCGAAGATCGATATTTTGGATGCGGGTCAAGAAAGCAATAGTCGTGTTAATTTTTGTGGCTTCTTTACTATATTTCATAGTTTCTCTCTTATTTCCCCACATGAATACTACAGCTTCTGCACGCCAAGACTTTTTGATCAGTAAAAAAAACTCGTTTTCCTCTATGATCCACAAGTGGAATTCTTTGAATGAAGAGGCATTGCTTTTTGAATGTTGTGATGGCCTGAATCCATCTTCTGAGATTTCGAGTCCTTCATCGGTTTTGAACTTGCATACAGAGGACAAAATCGAGCCGTGTGATCTGAGGGTTAGAGTTGGAAAGGAGAAAGGAAAAAGACGGAGGAAAAAGAAAAGCTCGGGTTTTGCTATACTACTTTCCGAAGCATCGAGCAGTCAAAGTGGCAATTCTACCCCTTCATCTCCTTTATCACCATCAGGTTCATGCACAACACCAAAAAAAAAAGGTGAAAACCCTGTTATCGAGGCTAAAAACCCGTTTTCTCAGCAAAGCAATAGAAGTAAAGGCCCTGACAATTCGTCTAAGGTCAATAAGCTTGTGGATACTGAACTTTCTTCAAAATCGAAGCTCAACAAAAACTTTCATGGCCTGTCAACGCATGAGAAATCGGGTTTGACGAAGAAAGTTGCTAGCAAAGCCTCACTTGTACCTTCTGCAGCTTTTCCGAGCGGTGGTAATGGTGGTGAGACCCGTTCGTCTTTATTGGCTTCGAATTCACCTATTGCTCCTCACTCTCGAGCTCCCGGGGCAAAACTGCAAAGTCAGCAAAAGGTTGAAGGTGAGGAGGAACAGATTGGGATGAAGCAGAATTATACTTATGATATATGGGGGAATCATCTGTTTGGGCATCACTTGGATTACCAGTCGAGAGAAGTATCGAGTAAACCTTCTCCTTCGTCTTTTGCTGAAAATGATTCTGATAGCTTCTTTGTAAGGGGCCCACAAACCCTCATTAAGAACAACACTCTGCTGCAATCTGTGATTTCTGATTTGAAGGGTAATGAATAATTAAGTACTACATAAAATTTCTGTGCATTTTTTTTTTTTTCTCCATTATTTCAGAGTTTGGTTTTATATTTAGTTGTTGATAAAAATGACATTAAAAACAGAGATCACTAAACTACTGCCAGAAGTAATAATTAATCCTATATTCCAGTTGTTGAAACAGTTTGAAAATTTTGAAAGTGGAATCCTCAAAATATTTCACCGGTGCTTCCAGGAATAAGTTTCGGAGCTGATAAATGATCCGTAATTAAATATATTCAGTATGGCTATGTATGGTGAAACTAGTTGATAGCTTCTATGTGAATTTTGAGCTGATAGCTTATGGCTGAAAAGCTGTAAAAAATAAAAAAATTCAACGGGCTTATTTGAAAAACTACCCAAAGAAGCTTATAAGATAAGCTAGAACATTTTAAATAAGCTCGACCAAATAAGCTTAGCTCAACGGGCTTGTATACAGAAAGCTTATAAGCTAACCAAATAAACTATAAGTCACACTCTAAGACTTCTACTCAACCATTGAGTAGTTCTAAATTGTATTGTTAAGAAACCCGCGGCTTATTTTTATTGTACTCTTCAAATGAAAGGGAACTTGAGTGAATTACATAAGCTGGAATGATCTTAGGCTTGTGGGTTTTGGTCTACAGCTAATTCAGATATTCCAACAATGAAGTTGAGCTGATGCAAATTTATGCTTTCGACTTTTATTTTAATCCTTTGCAGTTGCTTTTATTTCTTGCTGTTGGTCTCTGCGGTCTATTCTTGTGGATTGCCTTTTAATATGAACCTTCCCAAAATAAAGTTAACAGTTCATTACAATATTTGCTAGAACAGAAGTCTATCGAGAGACATCCATGAATTTGCCGTTTGTTCTATTGTTGTTTATTATTATTATTGAGAAAACTGAGATTGGTTGTACGATCATTGTTTTTTGTTTGGCACATTATGCTGCCTCAGTAATTAATGTGATGAGAAATTTGACGATTCGGATGAATTGGACAGCTAGAGTTTCTCTGTGTTTCTCTTGTACTTCTTCTATCACATACATGTAGCTGTGATGTTACATGGAAAGAAAGGTGGTTTTGGATTTTTATCAACTTCACACGTACATCAAATGCCCGTAATTTCCAGTTCGATTTCACCTTTTTTTTAAAAAAAAATAAAAAAAAAATGGTGAACTGATGTGGGAAAATTTAGTAGAATTGTTAGGACAGGCAAAAGATAAGATGGGCATTGGTTCGTGATGTTGATGGTAGACGAGCTTCAAGTCGCTACGGCTGCAAAGAAACCGAGCAACTCGTGAGTCGCTCGCGAGTGCTCCAATCAAAGCTCGAGTTTGACCGAACTCGAGCCGAGCTTGAGCGTCTCGAGCACGTTATCGAGTCGATCTCGAGTATAAGTTATGGAAGGTCGAGCGGCTCGAGATATATAGTGAATTACTCAAATTCCTTTATATATATAACTATTATACAATGTTTTATATATGTATTTAATGATACTTTACTTGAAATTCGAGTGGAACTCGAGCCGAGCTTGAACAATCCGAGCATTTTGATTTCAATTGATCTCGAGCCGAGTTCGAGCAATTGTCTTCTTTTGTCGAGACGATCTCGAGCGTCATAAATTGAGCTCGAACAGGTAAAAAGAAAAATAATCTTGCTCGATAAAGTTAATGCTCGACTCGATTCGGCTCGTTTGCAGCTTAGGATGGAAAATGGCTAGCATTTTACAATGATTTTGTGAGTTTTTGGGGACCATAACTTTTCATTTCTTTTTTGGCCCCTTTCGTATTTCTTTCATCCCCACAAAAGATGGCCATAAAATTTTGCTGGTTAGAAAGGGACTTGACTAAGGTAACACCTCAATCGTTTTTCCATTGGCTTTATGCTTTTATCTGATATGTGATTTATTTAATTGGGATTTATAAAGACTTTTAAAAACTTTTTAGGACTTTAGAAATCCTGGTGTATTTAATTTAGATTTCTCAAGACTTTTAAAAGTCTTGAGGTATTCAATTAGGATTTTAAAAAGTCTTACGAAATTCAGGTGTATTTAACTAATTTAAGGTTAGGATTTATAAGGACTTTTTAAGATTTGCTGGGATTTCTAAAGAAAAAAACATGTAGGAAATCCCACTACAAATCCCACCTTTAGACTTGGTATTTTACAGGATTCTTTTAAAATCTGAAAATCCTCAAAAATCTTAAATCTTAAAAAGTCTTTAAATGTCACTCGAATTCTGAAACGAATACACCCCCCTAACACTCATTAAAGGAAAATCATTTACATAATTATTTGAGAAAAAATCTCTTAAAAATTGCACTATTCACTTATATTATGTTTTCTTACTATTGATTTACTTGTATGATTCTAATTATTATCACTTAATGATTTTATTCTTATATCAGATAATGTTTTTAATCTTTTAAGTAATCTCACTTTCCTAGTTATTATTATTATTATTATTATTATAATAACAAAATTTTTATAAAAATAATTGATCAGTTCACCAATTGAACTGCTGACCTGACGATTGGACCGGTGACTCGGAGTCTAACCCATGGTTTATAACTAAGATTTTCAAGTCTGTATAACCCCATCAACATTACTATTATTTTCTGTAATTTACCAATACTACAAAAAGAGCCCTATCAAAACTAAAAGACAATTTTATTTTTATTTTCATTTTTCAACAAAAACAAGAGAGAAAGATAAAGGGATATTCAATTGCAGCTTAAAATATTTTGGTGTTTTCTGAATATTAAAGAAAAATCAAAGTGCCTCATTTTTATTTTATTTTTTATTTTTTTGGTGTGTGTGTGTGTGTGTGGGTGTGGGGGTATGGATGAGTTATTTCACACATGAGTGATGATTTTTTTGCTAATTATAATAATAATAGATTTTTTTTATATTTTATTTATTATTTGTTTTTTTTTATTTTTTTTGCAAAAATAAAAGCTAATAGTTATGGCAAAAAATGAATAGGGAAAACATTTATTGTTCGCACAAAGACTGTAAACTCTGATTTTGTAAGTATATAATGTATCTGAATTGTCTTCATTTACAAGTCTGTCGGAAAATTGAATGATCTGATCCCACATATTGTATTATACTTGAAATTGTATTACATTTTAGGCACGAGACATCTTGCTAAAGAAAATCTCATATTAGGGTTTTTTTGTGTGAACCCTACCATGCCACATAATTATTATATCATAATTTAATTAAAATGTAATAAAAAGTTGAAAAAAAAATCATAGATATATTTTGCCATTAAAAGAAATACGTCCTATAAATGGCAGCATGAGTGTCAAACGGGGACAAAACGAGTGCGGTCCCACATATATAAAGCGCACAAACAGGGTGAGGCCAAATGAAGTCGAGCCTCTAGTGCCTCATGATCTGTTGGTAATATTTGATACAAGTGCTTGTTGTTCTTGTTCATGTATGATTGCATTCTCTTGCCACTATAAACTCAACTTATTAAAATTAGCTTCTTATTTATTTTTGTTTTGATACTTTCACCCTTGTTTACTATGCCCGATCGGTTCGTACGCAACTCGACAGTTACCGAGGTCTGCTACACGGTTCCTCGCCACATGTCCGATGGAGACGCAAAAACGCGACCAACTGTTGACGTTTCTACGGGATGTGGAAGAGAAGGTCGTCGTCTTGGCCCTTGCCGGTGTCTCCGACCCCCCTGCAAATCGAGAAATTGCGACTGAAGGAGAAGGGGTTAAGATTACTTGTGAAATTTAGGGGCAAAATAGTATTTTACACTATTGATATTGGTTTGTGTTATTCTCATTTTTTTTAAACTTTAAGTTATTCTACACCAATGACACATAACAAACACATGATAAAAATAATTTAAACATGATAAAAATAATTTAAATAGTACAATCCCACAACTTTAGATTATTTTAGTACAATCTCATCCCAAATAACAGCAATATTTAAGAGCAGCAAAATATATATATAATTTAAGCAGCAATATTTTTCCCCAGTTATTCTCAAGAGATTCAAAATTCCTCTCTTTTTACTCTTCAAGAGCAGCAAAATATATATATATATATATATATATATATATATATATGTATGTATGTGTGTGTGTTTGTATTTGATAAATTTTTTTTTCTTCAAGTGATGGGTATTCCAGAAATTTTTAATTTTAATCATAAACACAATAATTTTTTTGAGAAAATTGCAATTTTAGTCCAGTAACTTAGTCTGTTTCCCATTTTAGTCCACTAACTTAGGTCGATCCAAATTTAGTCCAAAACTCCTAAAAGTTAGTTAAATCAGTCCAATTTCGGTCCCTGTCGCCAAAATTGATTGGTCAATTTCAGTCCAATTTTAGTCCAATTGGACTGATTTTACTAATTTTTGAGAGTTTTTGGACCAAATTTGGATCGGTTTAAGTTAGTGGACTAAAATGGGAAACAACCTAAGCTACTGGACTAAAATTGCAATTTTCTCTAATTTTTTTTTCTTCTAGAGATGGGTATTCTATGAAATATATATACCGGATTCGCGCCCGCGAAAAGCCCCTAACTCGCGAGTTTCAGCCCCAGCTGCATCCCAGTGCCCGCGAAAATCCTTTCGCGCCCGCGAAATGGCCGTAGCCCGCGAGTGTCTCCATGCTAGCCCGCGAGTTTCAAAATCTGCGCCCGCGAAATGCTCATAGCCCGCGAGTTCCCAACAATGCCTAGCTCAAGCCACACTCGCGAGAGAGCTCTAACCCGCGAAAATTCGGCCCTTGCTCGCGAAATACACCTATCTTGCGAGTTTTTCTTTATTAAATGTGTGTGTTTTAGTGTGTGTTTATGGTGTAGCTATAAAAAGACATTATGCTTTGTATTTTTGAAAACAACCCTCATTTCCCAACTTTTAAGTTGGGAATTCCTCTCTATTTTCTCTTTTTCCTTTTTTTATTTTGGTTTGGAGCTTATGAATCAAGTTTTCCGGCGAATTTCTGGCGACATTGTTTCGAGTAAAGTTTCGAG